ATCTTTTAATTTATTGCTGCTTATAGCCACCTTGTTTCGCCATCTTCACCGAGATATTGTGAATTTTTCTCACAAGGCTCACTCAATACACAAGAAACAACCCCCATGTATTTAAAAGTTAAAGGAGGCCAACTGAATACGCATGTTTATAGTCATGAACTTCTTTTAAATTATTCTTATGGTTCCTTGTAATTGTAGTCAAGTGTCATCATTGCTTTTGGATAGGTGAATATTCAGCTCCTAATTTAGCTAGGTATGATATATTTATTATCAAGTAACTGATGTTAGAGACCATGTATAGTTTTGTTCTAGATAGAATCCATCTCAGTGTAGGTTGGTGCTAAAAAAGACACCTTTCCTCATTGCTTTAACTAGATTTCTCAGTTAAAAACACATAAGTAACGGCAGATTTTTATCCTGCCGAGTACTTTAACATTTGACGTAAAACCGAAATCAACCGGAATATATGTTAGCGTCACAAACTTCCACAATAAAATATACGGGGTATATTTGTTTAACTAACAGATTGAGAATCAAATTAACTTTCAATTAAGTTTTAAATTAAAGTCTGTGAAATAAATTAACTATTCATAAGATGTCTTTCCAGAGTCCCAATATAAAAGTACATGTTATCTGATCCATATGATAGTTATATAGTTAACCACTAAAAGTACTATCATAGCAACAAAACAAAATTTCTATCTGTAAAACAAATTTGAAGATGCAACTTCACAGTAACTAATAAAATCTTATCTATCAAGTTGTAATATGATCATTAGCATCGCAACATCGCACGGACTATGTTTTGATGTTAATTGGTTGGAACCGGTCAGCAGGAAAACCCTAACCTTCGCCTCGTAGTTAGCACTGGTTACAAAGGCTTACATGTATTATTTTTGGGACTGATATCCATAGCAGAATTCTGACCTGGACCGCCTAGTATTACGGTCCTAGACGTCATCACTAACTGATGTATCAGTCAGACATGAATAATAAAGGATGTAGAACACATACATTCACTCATATTGACGAGTCACATCAACAACAAGAGATGAATTTAACAAGATGAATGCTCGGTGAATCAGAATAATATTAATGTTAATGATTGTAGAACTAAGCAGAGAATACGGTTCCAGAAGAATGAATGAAAAACGGCCAGAAAAAAATATGAATGAATATTGAAATCTATGATTTAAGTAGGGATTCGAAATCAATGTGTCTGCACCATTATGGTCGGTTTTAATCCATATCAACTTACGTATCTAAGCAATATCAATCGGAACCCAAAAAACACAGCTCAGAACAAAAATCAGTAACTCCATGGACTTATGTCAACCCTTTGTTTTTCCTCTCTAGGTTTTCTTCCAACCTAATTATAAGCTAACTAGCGATGTACAGAAATAAATAACTGTGAAGTAAATGACTTAAGAGCATATTCAGAAGTGTCGAATCAGTCAATTCATTCTAGACCAGAAATCGAGGCCAATAAGTTGTTAATTGATTCATCCATTTTATTAGACAGATATAATCACAATAAAATTCAAATCCGGATTGTCCCAAATCAGTTCACCTATTAATAAGACCAGAACAAGAGTAGAAAATGAAAGCAGAAAAAAACTAGTAAACTGCCAGACAGATTTGTAAAGATTTTATATTCCATTTTGTCAGCTATTGTTTTGTTTCTGTTCTTTGGGCTTTATATATATATATATATATATATATATATATATATATATATCCATATGATTCTGTGCTAATGTGTATGTACATGTGAAGTATTTGTATATACCTAAGTATATACATGTTTGATCCTATGTGAAAACAACCAACCATTTAGAATATGTAGAGAACAAATAGTATGTACATATATGAAAGGTATTACACCCAATACAGTAAATACGTAAAATCCTTTTGTGTATCATATGTTTGTTTTCTAACGATTCAATAATTGAAGTTAATGTCAATCACTTATGACAACTTATTGATTTAATTTAATAATAATAATAATAAGCAATAAAATCATCACTTCAATAAATGATGTTTTTTTCTTGGAACGTAGTATCGTATCCTTTTTTGTTATTGTCATATTATTTCAATCCTTTATTTATCTCCCTCAGTTCTTTACCTTTTAGAAGTTATGTTAGTTGTTATTTCCTATATAAAATATTTTTACACAAATAGTCATTTATGTTTATGGTACACATTGACAATTATTATGATTTTACTAATGAAATTTTTTTGTATTTTATTGTTATTTAGGTAGAATTACTGTCAAGATTGATAGAACACTTAACTCCGCCTGTAGCTCTTCTAGAGTTACTGCCGGTCCCAAGCCCGGATAAAGGAGGAGGGTTTGGGCATGGGGTTAACTACCCCATCCCGTAGAAAACCAACTCGCTAAAAAAAACGTTAACTAGAAAAAATAATCCAAACCATTTAAATTCTGCCCTGGGAGTTGAAGGAAGAAATATGACGCCTCATGATGAAAGCCAGGATTTTTCGGAAGTCACGAGGCCGATGCCACTTCTGACAACAAGAGCAACAATTTGTATTTTTTTTATATAACTAAATAGTACACTTTACAATATTGATTCAAATATAAGAAATTGTCTGTCAATGTCAACATACGATATATTTCTATTTCATAACATTACAGCACATTAATGTAATTAAGTGAATTAAGTAACTTTTCCTATAGTGTACAGTATGATCAGTCGATCAGATTATTCTGTAACACTCTGAAAATATTGAAAATTTTTTATCATAAACATGTTATCCCTTAGAACAATCAAACAATCAAATACAAGACTCTTGAGAATTTTGGTCTTTTGACATTTTAGAGTTAATATAATTATTTGATTAAATAGTTATTAACATATATCAGAAAGTTGGTTGTATATTGGAGTCTTCGATAAGAGCCATTTTTTATAATTCAACAAAATCATATGGGAAAAGCACCCTTATATGTTATGATAACCACAAAACTATCAAGATAATGATCTGTATTTCTAACCTCATTCAATTCATCACATTATACAGCAACATTATGAGCTCTACGCTGTATGAGTTATAAAAAATTATACGTATTCACTTGCATACATATGTTAGTTATCTAAGCCATAAGTAGTTAATCCATTAGGCTAACTAATATATCGCTGAGAGGCTCAACTTTACACCAGCTTTAAAACTAAAATGTCAATAAAACACTTTTACCACACTAATTTTAAACAATGATAATAACAGTTTGAGGGGTTATTCAGTTCAAACAGAAGCAATGATATAAGTTCAATTTTGAATGGTGAATAACTTCATGTTTGTCTGATCCCTTAATTATAATCTAATTATATCGTTCAACTTGCAATATGGCCACTAGTCTAAGCTTTTCAACATTACCTACACTATATTTTCATGTTAGTTGGCTGGACGTAGTTGTCAGGATACCATTGACCAATTTTTAGTATTAGTTGCCACGTGTAATATAAATCCCTATAATATTACTGGAAGAAGGCTCTATAGATTCTGTGTAAAATGACGATGGAAGCTCTACAATTAAAAAATCTAGCTGAGAAGACATATTACTAACAAAACCATTCACCTAATGATTGGATATTCCTTGCTGAATTAAAATTTTTGGGTAGTGTCAATAAGTTATAAAAAATATTTTAAATATAACTGTAAACTCACTTAGTATTGTTTGTTTGAATTTTACCATTGATGTTTAAGACTGCAACTGTTCAGTCTATTATTGCCATATGTGCACACTGTGCGTATTGCCTCAATATAGCCTTAAATCACAAGTATTATAAGCAAAGATGGATAGTGGCCAGCAGTGGAATCCAGGACGTAAATCTCATCCTATTTGGGACTCGTCAACTAGATTTATCTGCATCTCAGAGTTGATGTTCAACCTGGAACTCGAACCCAGTACCGTTCACTTCAAACGCCAACGCGTTATCCACTCAGCTACTGAGTCCTGATAGCCACTTGCTTGTGCAATTGAGTGAAGTTTAAATTCACTTGGTATTGTTTGTTTGAATCTTCCCATTGACGTTTAGGACTGAAACTGGTCAATCTCTAATTGGCATGTGTGCATACTGTGCGTATTGCCTCGATATAGCCTTATTTCACAAACTGTAGACGTTTAAGAAAAATAAGGAAATAGATTTTGTCTTATACCATAGCCGTCTTAAAAAGTATGTCTTAACACTGTATCTACCCATTAAACAAGCTCCACAGATGACATACATTCCTTCAACATTATAACATCCGAATTTCAGGTATATATTACTGAAATGTCCCGAAAACAAACATGAACTTTATTTTTCTCAATTCTGTGCTTTATGGCAACTAATTATCTGATAATGCCAAAATTTCTTTCTGCATACCAGAGAAAACTTTCATGCATAAAAAAACTTTCTAATTTCCAAGAAAATGTAAAAACTTTTTAGCCAACTTTCTTTGAAAAATAATCATTTCTGAATGTAACTATGATTATTATTATTATTATTATTATTATTATTATTATTATTATTATACTTAGATTCTCATTCCCGTAAGTTTTATATTTCACTTTGCCTCAATGTATACGAGTATCTACATATTCTTTAATAATAATATTTCGCAAAGTTTTATGTTCAATGAATAAGAATAATTGAAAAGTTTAGAAATACTATTTCTATCTTTGTACAGGCGTACGGCGATATTATGCTTTAAAAAACAAACTAATTCCCTTGTTTTTAATCAGTTGAATTTTCAATCAACAAAAGTTAGAAATGAGAAATATTCATCAAGATACCACCCATTTACTTATCCACAAACACATACTTTCTACTTATACTTTGTGTATATATATACCAAACTTTATAACTAAACATTTGAATCCCACGTGCATCGGGTAAGACAGTTATTTCGTCAATCAGTTAGTAAATCAGTCAACTATGTTTCATCATTCGTTCAAATTTGGTCATAAAAAAAGTGATTTTTATGACTTTGTCTAATCTATGAAACAAGCACGAACAAAACAAAACAAAACAGAATTGTACAGACATACACAGGTAGGCAGTCACATAGAAAGGAAAACATACGAACCGATTCTCCTCTCCTCTTTTTTGTTCTTATTGTTTCTCCTTTATCACCAACGTCTCTCCATTTTTGGCAAATAATTAATTTGAATACTGTGAAAATGAAAACTAAGCTTTCTCATATATATATTTGAGTGTTTATTGGTAAAACAAAATGTGTTGCATCTATGTAGGGATTTTTGGAATACTCGGTTCGCAACTATACTATTACTACTGGTGCACTTACTACTACTACTACTACTACTACTACTACTACTACTACTACTACTACTACTACTACTACTACTACTACTACTACTACCGATAATAATAATAGTAACAAGAATGATGCGAAACAAAAGGATTATCACTCTAACATTTTTAAAAAACTGAATACATTGTAATTTGTCTTGTTATATATGGTACATATGTTTAAACATACGTAGTTTCATTTATGTATGTGTGCATATGTGGTATGTAAGCTCTATTTATTAGTAAATAATAAAAAGGATGTATAGTATCCACATTTCCATGGGGATATTCATATTGTATTTTAATCTTTTGAAATGAATATTGAATCGAATTAACCGAATTTCACCAGTTTTAGAAAATGTAAAAAACGGAGTTTAAAAAAAATATTTTTTTTTCGGTTAACGAATTCCTTTACAATATACAAGATAAGCTAATATTATCATACTATAGGTTGATATTATGATTCTAATGTTTACTATCAATAAAAGAAGTAACCACTTACCTTTTTTTGTTACTAAATACTGACTGTATGTGCATTATTGAGTTTTAATTCTAGAAATCTATATATTAACAAAATACATAAGAATTTTCGTCTAAATTAGAGCGAATAGCTTCATAGTATTTGAGCGCCGAGTTGATGTAAGACATTAAATAAGAATAATATATTTGTAAAATCTCAGCGAATGAATTTGAAGTCAATTCAACGTTTCGTCAAGCTTTTTCAAGGAATTTGAATGAAACTATGACATATGTGGCTTGCTCTATTTTAAAATAAAAATAATTCACTCATCATGGAACTATGTATAGAAAATAGTTATGCAGTTTATGATGAACTAGACGGTACCACCTAAATATGAAAAAAAAAGATTTCAAGGACAAAACATTTGATACTTGCTTATTTTATCACTATCACTGTTTAAACGATTGTATAGATCAACTGATTATTTAGTGATAATTAGGGCAACACTGGTTAATGTAGTATTAGTCTCGACTGAATTCTATCAATCACATTTAAATGTAACTACTTAAGCTTGCTGTAATTAACATAACATTTTAAGTTTGAAGGCGAATTACAGATGGTTCTGAACCTAGGTTTAATATTAGTTATCACAAATTACCAAGGTGTAATTTAGTTTTGGGTAACCAATGTCTCATGAAGAATTTGAACCTGTGCCACTTATTGCCAATGAGCTATTCAGGTTGTAATAGGCTCCTCGTAAACATCATATTCCTACAGTAAAGATTGATGATTATTCTGAGACAAAAAGTCGTCTCACTAGCTGAAATAACTTATATTCAACTAAAAACACAAGAATTACTATTACTCCCCAACATAATACTTGTATCTATCATTGAAACACTAAACACTGGACCGTAAATCAACTGAAAGGCAATCTAAATCCATCATTATAGAGGTTTTTATCACTGACAGTCTGGTTATTTATTATAACTTATCCTAATACAGACTATTTGTTATCGTAATTTCTCTTTTTTAGGTATCATGAAAACTGTTGAAAACCTACGGTAAGATGTGGATTTCTCAAAATTCAGACTCTTAGTCCTTACTTATATTTATCATCTAAAGCAGTCCATTTTCGAATTATAACTTTCAAGCCCAGTAATCTATTACATAAATTAATTCAATCATCATCATCATTAGTGAATAGGTTAGATATTTTCTTCTGACATTAGAATAGTGCAATGAGAAAGTTTACTAATAATAAAATTAAGATAAGACAACACTAATTGAATGAGATATTCACCATCTCTGTAGTTGATATTTCTTAATGATCAGTAACTGTTTCACAGATCATTTAACTGATAACATCCGGGTTCTGTTATTTTTAAAAAAAAAGTGATTAAGTAACTAAACCGATAGTAATAGATATATGCTAATGTTCTATAATAAGGTTGATATTACTTTGATCTGATCTTCATTGTAATATAATTTGATTATAAACATGTGCAATTTCATTTTAATATGTGTGATAAATACTTCAGTTTGTTTAAGTCAAATAATCAGGGTACCTTTTATTCAATGTCATTTAAATGACAGTTATAAAGTAATAATAATTCATTTTAATTGAATCAAATTTTTAATAAACTACTAAAACTACTTATGATAAGTTTATTGAAAAAAATTCTCTTCTTTAATAAATCATTGATTGAATAGTAACCAAAACTTCTTGAATTAGATTACCATCTGTGAGTGAGATAAATAAGTTAATAGGATAGTTTTATGAATGAAATTAGATCTTTGAAAGGCTCTAGTTTTATTATAATTAAAATAATTTTTTTAGTAGTTGAAACCATGATTCAATTGAAGCTAGATAACCATAGAAAACCTTCAAGCACTAGACGGCCGTTTCGTCTTATTATGGGACTCCTCAGCAGTGTGCACCCACGATCCCGCACTCATGAGATTCGAACTCAGGACCTACCAGTCTCGCGCTAGAGCACTTAACCGATAGACCATTGAGCCGGCATCCAACGGTGGTCTAGACCTTGAAATACAACACAGAGAACACCAACCCAGTCACAATTAATGGATAAACTCTGAGAGTTGTGGAATCTTTCACATACCTGGAAAGCATCATCGATGAATAAGGACGATCTGGTGGAAATGTTCAAGCACGGATTGTCAAAGTGAATGCAGTATTTCCACAATTTAGGACCGTATAGAACTCAAAACAACTGTCAATTAACATCAATTCGGAATCTTCAATACGAACGTCAAGACAGTTCTACTCTACGGAGGTGAAACTTCGAGAATTACTACAACCATCATCAAAAAGGTACATGTATTTATGAACAATTATTTGCGCAAGATACTCAATGTCCGTAGACCGGATACCATCAGCAGCAGCATACTATGGAAGGAAACAAAATAGCTTCCATCTGAAGAGAGAATTAGAAAAAGACATTGGAGGTAGACAGAACAAACATTACGAAAATCATCAAACTTCATCACGATGCAAGCGCTAACTTGGTATCCTGAAGGGAAACGGAAAAGCAACAGACCAAAGAACGCATACTACAGGGAGTTAGCAGCGGACATCAAAATAAGAAATATCAATTGGGAGAGACCGGAATGTAGAGCTTAGAACAGAGTTGTTCAACGAATTCTGGTTGGTAACCTATGTTCCTCCATGAGGGGTAACAGCTGTAAATAACTAACTAATAGATATTTCAGAGAAAAATCTTATCAAATTTCTAGTACAAATTATTTTCATTCGATCTAATCTATAGTCAAAATAAAAATATAAACGACTAGCATCATCATCATCGTCATCATCTTCTGACTTAAAAAGCTGTTACATTCTTCTAGTTCAAAATAATCATATTTGTATCGAAGATTTAAAACTATTTTGTAACTACTCAATGTTACTTTTTTTATAATTTATGAATGAACAAACCATAATACTTAAATTTTCAAATAGATATAAGTATTTAAGAATTTAAACAAACTAAATAGTCGTTATTCGTGATTACTCATTCAATATACATATACAATGAATGCTACTTCAAAGACGAAAGTATCAAAATGAATGAAAATGGAAAGAAGTTTTCTTTGAAAGAAAATCTTTGAACATCAAAGCTGAACATTAAATTAATAGAGAAGTATTTATTTGTTTATTTTTTACAAATAGATGTTTTTAAATGTAGTTTATTATTTGTTTAATAATGAAAATATTACTTAACATTACTTCGTTTTTGTCCATACACAGTTTTAGTGTACGCTACTCATGTTGATAGATATAAGTAGTATATAACACAATTCAAAAGTAGAATGTCTGCAAGTAAAAGGTTGAAAAGATTGAAATGAGGAAACAAGAGGAGGAGATTGAAAACAATCAAGAGAACAACAGAAATGAAGGAACAATAAAACTTGTAAGAGACAAATCAAAAATTTGTAAATGATCTATTGGATGTATGATATTTTACTGAACCACCGTATGATTATGCAATAAACAATAAATTTGCGTTTTCCATCTGAGTTCTCGTTCACTATAGAATAACTTTTGTACGTTTCTAAAGATTGAAGAAATAAGTATGCATCATCTCGATTTTACTTTACAAATCATATTTTTAAAGTTTTAACATTGAAAAAGCTTGAACCATCGCGTTATCCTTTTAGTCACTGAGTCCTGATAGCCACTTGCTTGTACGATAGGGTGAAGTTATATTCACTTGGTGTTGTTTACTTGTATCTTCCCATTGTTATTTAGGACTGCAATTGATCAGTCTCCTGTTGGCAAATGTGCATCTTGTGTGGACTGCCTCGATATTGCCTGAATATAACTCCACCCCATTGCTTATAAAGCTTGTGACTTCAGACAATATCGAGGCAGTGCGTACAGGATGCACATATGCCAAACAAGAGACTTATCAATTTCAGTCCTAAATAACAATGGTAAGATACAAGTAGACAACACCAAGTGAATTAAATGTATATAGTTTGACAATACGCATTATTATAAGTGTATACCAATGAGCAATCTTAAACAGTAACAAAATTTACTATTCAATCCCTTTTGGTTTTTTTAACATTTCTTCATGTGAATTAAGGTATATCGAGACAATACGCACAGTATGCACATATGCCAATTAGAGACTGACCAGTTGCAGTCCTAAACACATCGATGGGAAGATCCAAACAAACAATACTAAGTGATTTCTTCATTTAGTTTTAATTCATAATAAAAATCATTCTTATCATATAGAAGAATCTTCCCAAATGTCATCAAAATCAACTGGACTATATTTGTTTACCCATATATTTCTTTTGACATTTTTTTTCTTGTATATCTGCCTATTTATTTATTTTTTTCGATGTACTGATATTGATCTTATGCTATACACACTTCTATTACGTAATAATATCAAGATAATTATTAGATATTGATAAGTTCAGTCCATACAGAATATGAAGATAAATAAACTCATACTGAACATGAATTATCTAGATTGTTGTTTATTTAAATTAATATGGAATAATATATAATAGCACAGATGAATTAGTTAATGTGAATGTGATTAGAATGATGTTGATCAAGATGATTAGAATAATGGTGGGAAATATTTAATCAGATTCTTGTAGACATGATATTTTTCATAAGATACACAATTAGTACTAACTAGAGTTCTTAAA